TCAGCAAAAGAGACTTGAGGTCAGTTTGTGGAGGGTGAAGGCCTATAGGCATGCCTCACATGTACTCAGGTTATCTCTAATATATCCATCCTACTGTTATAACTGTGATACAAGTCCCATGCTGTGTAACTGCAAGATAACCAGTGCTTCTTGTGAAGAGCCCGCATGTCCCCGCAAAGGTTGTTTATTATGTGTATGCACAGGGTGTCAGTACCTGTGAAAAGACCAGAAGTGAGTGCTATTGTCATCTTCCATCAGTCTCCATCATGTTTCCTGAGACAGGGTCTCCCACAGTTCTGTCCCACAGGAGTTTGCCATTTTTGCTCAACTGGCTGGTCAGTGAACCCTCTCTGTCCATCTTCTTCGGCTCCCCCGGCGCTGCTCTGGGAGGTGGGGCTACAGGCCTGCATCACTCTTCCCAGCTTTTATGAGGCTATTGGGAATCTGACCTCAGGACCTTGTGCTTCTGTGTCGGGTACTTTATCTAATAAACTATCTCATTGGTCCTCATTCTTAGTGGCTCCACATTCACCCCCCTGTATGTGACTGTTCTAGGATTCTTTCCTCATTGCATCAGAGACCATCATTTTGGCATATCTTCTGTCTTCTCTCCCTTTGGCTGGAAGCTTCTCTGTAGGCATCCCAAAGCACAAGCAGTTTGTGTCTAACCTTGCAATGACAGGCATATCAGAGAAGACCCTGAACACCGATCATGGAATGAAGATTTGGTGTTGGGCAACATGACTCTGAGAATCCAGGCACTGTCTCCCTCACCAAAGAACACTCTGCAGTTCCTTTCCTGACTCAAGCCAACAGGAAATGTTTCTGAGATTTACGTGTTTCCTCTGGATCAGGGCCTTCTCTTTGGGGCCTTCCCACTCATTCCCTGTCTAAGACATTAATGCCTGTCTCAGCGTTCTTGATGAAGAAAGTAACAGTTCAGCAATCATAACGACTTTCCTTTCTCTTCTGCTTCAATATTCTTTCTGCTTCACTTATATATTTCCCTTAATACATAAGTAGACTGTTTTGCTCATGCTTTAAAAAATAAGAAATGAGAAAATCCCAGCCTGATGTTGCATCACTGCATAGTTGCCTGTCTACTATACACCTTTTACAGCCAACCATGACAAATCCAGCTGTGTTCTGATCATATTTGCTAGCTTCCCCCTTCTCTTTGAAGTCTTTAATCTATGCCACTCAGTCTTTGGCTCTCCAGTTCACTGATTCAGCTCTTGCCAAAAGAATTAATGTATTCCATAGAGTCAAATCTTAATTTTGTTTTGCTGGCCCATCTGAAACCCTGGGAAACCTGGCACTTTCTACTTTTCACTTCGCTGGCTCTGAATTACCAAAAAACCCTTTGGTTTTGCTTCCTGTGGTGGTCTGAATAGGAATGGCCCCCATAGACTTACATGTTTGAAAGCTTGGGCCCATACGGAGTGGCACTATTAGGAGGTGAGGCCTTGTTGGAGTAGGCGTGACCTTGCTTGAGGAAGTGCTTCACTCTGCAGGAGGACTTTGAGGTCTACACTGCGGCTGGGCCTTGTGTGGCAGTCTCATTCAGCTGCCTGTGGATCGAGATGGGGAACTCTCAGCTCCTTCTCCAGCACCATGTCTGTCTGCATACTGCCATGTCCTGCCATGATGATGATGAACTAAATCTCTGAAGCTGTAAGCCAGCCCCAATTAAATGTTTTCCTTTATGATAGTTGTTATGGTCATGGTGCCTCTTCACAGAAATAAAATCCTAACTAAGCCTGGCTGCTGTAGGAAGTCTTACAGCCTGTGGTTACCCACCCACTGTGGAGTGGCCTCTTATACTATATATGCCAATGTAGAGCATGCGTCCAGCCTCTTTCCCGGCTGTGGGATTCAGTTTATGATCTCCATTAAAGCAGAGGATTCTGATTTGTGAGTCTATCCCTAAATAAGTAACTGCCTATTTCTCAATTCGGAGCTAGTGTGGGAATTCTCTTAAGCATCCTTCTTCACCTGGCGGTAGTGGCACAAACTTTTAATCCCAACACTTAGGAGACAGAGGCAGGAAGAATTCTGAGTTTGAAGCCAGCCTGGTCTACAGAGTGAGTTCCACGACAACCAGGGCTACATAAAGAAACCCTGTCTCAAAAAAACCAAACCAAACAAACAGCAGCAGCAGCAACAAACAAACAAACAAACCCTAAGACATTCCTCTTTCTATTAGCTTCTCTCTTGCTCCTTCTCCTGAACCTTAAAATACTCCTCTAGCAAAATGATTCATCCTCCAAATAATTTCACCCCCCTTTGTGGTTGTAGAAAACATTCAGATGCTAATACAACCCAAACTTAAGCATCTACCTAGTCAAAGAAATGCTTTTAAGTAAATCAAGCTAACATTTGTCAACACCAGTTTCTGACAGACCCCCAAGCCTGCTTTTTCCCCAGCCTGATAACGCCCTAACTCCTTAGAACAATTTGATTAGTTTTGCAGCAATATCCTACCTTTTTGCTTGGATGTTGGAACTCTATATTGTATTATGGAATTTGGAAGTTGAGAAAAATAAAGTAATTTTAGCATCCTTGATTTATAAGTATTAGAGCTAGAACTTATAGGATTGAAGTTCAAAGGGATCCAGTCAGAAGCAATGTTTTGTTTTGTTTTAAAGAGTAATTCAAATCTACTTACATCACAGAGCACTTGAGGTGAGTAAAGTAAACATTTTAAAGCAGTGACTGGATACGACCTAAATGAAAACTCAAAATTTGGACCATAAAAGAGGTTAAAATAATATACTTTACAATTTTGAAGTGCCATTAAATTACCTAATATCCTCTTCAGACATTCCCAGCTGAGTCTGACTTGACCCCAAACTCAGGGTATATTATTGTCTCAGTTATGAGCTCAGTTATGAATTTTTTAAAAAGCAATCACTATATGAGCTGAGTATGTAACTCAGAGGAAAGATACTTACTTAGCATGCTCAAGACCTGACATTTGATTCTCAGCATTGCCGAAGGAAAAAACAGCAATTATTGTAATCTTCCACATAAAACATTGCCAAACATTTGTTGTTGAAGTTATTACATGTCTGCAATAAGCTGGAGCTATTTGGCATTGCTAAGTAAAAACACGTTTTTTAATTTGTTTGTTAAGCAGCTGCTTCTGAATAATAGTTTATTTGAGGTGATTAATCACTTGGGACCAGCCTGCAGACACGGGGCCCGACATTATAAATCACATCTTATTTTCATTCACAGGGAATAGAGTGATATTCATTTTTTGGACATGATTTATCATTTGCAGGTTGCATCTGCTATCTCTGTGGGCTGGGAAAATGGATGGCTCGTCTTATTAAAAGCCTTCAACTTTTGCTGTAATATTTTGTGCATATCTAGAGGAAATCCATGATCAAGACAATTGGTTCAAGTATTAAGGTGTACTGGGTGGAAAGTATGCTGTAGATCAGGTCTTTCACTATTGGATAAGTGAAATGAGGGCCAACATTTGGACTTTTTAAGCCATTTTGTGTAGCCATCTTTGAACTGTTACCTGTTTAAGGAAATTTACTTAGTATTTATATATACTCTGTCTTCTTTAAGAAGTATGGGAAGTACTCAGTGTCAGTGCCTTGGGATGACTTCCTTTTTCTTTGATTGTAATTCCTTCCAACACTCTGTGACTTGCAATCTCAAAGTAAAAGGGGTTGGTCCTATTTCATAAAATTTCATTTACCAAGCGTTATATACCTCTGTCCCAACCCTGCCAATATAAAATTTAGTCAGTAGGGCCATTGTCATAGGAGTTATATCAGTAGGGCAGTCTGGTGACATTGATAAGGTATTTACTGTGACAATAGCATTATTTCCATAAAGCAGAAGAAAATTTAACAAGAACCAATACTCATGTATCCCTGGTACAGTCCCTTTGACTAGAGAGGCAGGAAACAATGGTTTTTATATGATCTTCTGGACCGTTTCCCTAAAGCCTTTAGATTATATATCTTTCTGCATGACTTCCTTAGGATATGGGTAGAGCATAGGACTTTGCAATCAAATTTACATTGTGGTCCTAGTTCTGCAATTGCTGACTGTGTTTCTGGATGCTTAACTCCTACACATTGCAGATTTCTAGAGAATGCAGTACAGGTAATCACACCCTTCTGTAGAACTGGCCCAAGGGTTGAATGAGACCTGGAAGAGTGGGAAACTCTCACAACCAGTAATTATTTCTGATCTTGCTCATAAAGCTAAGTAAGAAATTAATCTATCTGAGTCTCAGGCCTCTCCTGTCTGTAGTGTTGTCAATCTTTATATTCCATCTACCAATCTGAGTCTAAAGAATTTAATTAATCAATGTAGTTTTAAAGGACCTTTCAGAGCTGTGCTGGTAGCAAGCCAACAGGCAGAAAAGCTAATAGCACAGACAACCTGCATTCTAATCCTAAACCTGCTATTTTCTACTTTTGTGACCTTGAAATCAAGAAATCATGCATTTGTGTGTTTTATGTTTTGTATCTATAAATCAAGGCAATATAGTGCTGGCCTGTTGGAATTGCTTTGAGAATCAAAACAGCAAACAAACAAAGTAAATGAAATGTGCTTCAAAAAGTCACTAACACATCAATAATCGTGTATTATCCTTCTTCGTGAAAGAAGGGTCCCATCTTAGTTTTTAATTTGTACATACACACATGCGTAGAAACACACATAGGCACCTAAATATGCACATATACAAGCATAGACACACATATACACACACATATACACACACATATACACACACATATACACACACATATACACACGAATACATGATTCATGCTTTCACTCATTCATATATGATCCCTTCTACCATAGAAAGACTCCTATGGGTGAACAAGAGCATATGATAATTTCCTAGATATTGAAGATAGCTGAGAAATTAGTTATTAGTCAACCAATTATTACTTAGTAATTGCATTTTACTAAGTGCAAAGCAGATTTTATCTAATAAAGAAAATTATTTTTCCCTGTTACAGAGTTGATGAATATTATGTTGAAGATACTCCAATTTACGGTAATTTAGATAATATAATTCCAGGTAAGTTTTATTTTTCCATAATTAGACATGTCAAAAACACATATAAATTTACCAATAATTTGTGGTATCTCATTTTTAAAACCATTACAGTTAGGTATTCTAGAAACCATAAGTTATGTATAGTACATTGTGTAGGTTATGTGTGCAAGGGCCACACTGTAAATTGCACTGTGATTGTCAGTACAAGCCAGCAGCTCCTTCTTCTCTGGGAGCTTCATTTCTCTCCTGGAGCAACAATACATCACCACTAGAAAAGCAGAAGGTTCTATTCCCATGAATTTTGTCACTCAGAGAATTCTATAAAATAAAGTCATTTCCAGAATAGAATATGATCTACAGAAACAGTATTTGGGGACCTGTATATAGAAGCCTGTGTACCGGCTCGATTGCCAAAATCATGAACACTTTCTCCCGTTTCCTGTGGCTTAACCTGAACTCTTTAAATGGAGAACCTGGTACTAGACTGAAAGCAAGTGGGGAGAAAGCAGAACCAAGTCATCAGTAAGTGGTTGGTGCTTCTATTCTTCTCCAAGTGCTCTTCACTTGAACCTTCTCTCCACACCAAACCCTCTAAAGTCCTCAGAGCAAGCAGCTGTGATCTGATGTCACAGCTGATGAGAGAAGAGGCTTCGCTTTTCCAAACCTCCACTCTATTCACGGGCAGAGCTTCTGGGATTATTCTGCTTGCAAATCTCTGTCTCAAACGCAAAAGTTTTCTGTGATCTAACAACATCATAATGTCTACATATCCAAACCAGTATAGGATTATAAAGTTAGAGAAATGTGAATTTTCTAATGATTCAGAGATTTAACTGTCTTTCTTTCCATTATGAGCATGTTCTAACTCCTGCACACTAACAAGCCAGAAACATTATATTAAACTAATGTCCCTTCTGTTCCATATTGCAGAATTACGATCTCATCCTTCATATTTAAATTCTTATAAATTCCAATGGTCCAGTGCCCATCAGATGAGTACTTTGCAAACCCAAATATGCCAGGGTTTATTTTAAGATTTTGACCTCACATGTCCTGGATTGGCTTTAAAAATCCACTACTTAACAAGTAAACACTAGTTTTTAATGAACTAAGATTTAAGAAACACAATTCTATTGTTTTTTCCATGTTGTTTTTCAGAGAGGACAGAAAGATTACTAGGTACCTTTTGGTATAATAAATATATCTTCCTCACTGAGGCCCAGTTGGTGCGTTGTACATTCTGGCCTGATAACTAGCCACTCTAAGTAGACATGTACAGGGATGTGTTTGGGAGAATAATGACACAGAATAGGATGGTTCGCTATCATGAAGGATGTAGTGGGTACAAGTCTGTTCACTTTTAGACAGTGCACAAAAGTTTGAGATCCTTAGAATGGTATTGAACAATCTTGAGGACTTAAGACAGTCCTGTCTATCTGATGTGACTCTAGCTGATGGGGCACAAATCCCAATCTAAGTCATTTTATTCAAAATTAGAATGAGGTATTTTAAAAGATTCTGAATAAAACACATCATTCCTAGAATGAATTACAAAGCCATAATCATTGATGAATTTGGAAAGCACCATGCTTTATGTAGCATGTACAGTGACCCCCATGTAACAGATAACACAGGCAACCCTTTAACTCCATTGGATCTCTAGATCATTTTAAACAGTGGTTTAGACGAGGCTTCCACATGCTGCTGTGGTACAGAAAATCCTTTTGATATAGTCTGCATCTTGCGCTTCTTACTGTCTGTCAGTAACATTGTGGGCAAAGGGCTTCGCTGTCAGATCTGCAGGAATAGCTTGCACTTCCATAACTTCATTGTATGTCCATCTAATGTACTATTTAAATACTTCTTGAGGCTATATATTCTTAGTTAAGTATTGTCTGGATCATACATTTTATTCATGCCAGCACTTTTCATTTTTCCACGGAAATCTCCTCTACTCCCAAGAGCCAATGGATGAGGACTGCTATGAACAAATGAAAGCTCGGCCACAGAGATCTGCAAGTGACATGCAAGAAGCCACCGCATCTGCACAGGTAAAGTTTCCTGCACAAATCACATCTGGTCTAGTTCAAAGCACCTGGAAAACAAAGTGTTTTCCGAGAGACATTAGGAGCAGCCTGTAAAAAATTTTGCAGCATGACTCATGTGTCAAGTTCTGAGACTTGAGCTCTACAGGGAAATACAGAAGCAGGGGCAAAACTGAACACCAGAAGACTCAAAATTAGGTATAGTTCAAAGAACAATGGACCCTGTCTGTGCATACATGCATATATACACATATATGTATGTACAGCTGCAGATTTGCATAATGTTCTGAAAGCATCAAAACATTCAGTTAAAGCATTATTATTTTCTCTTGTATCCTCTCCCTACTGCCTAGACTAGTCATGGTGGTGATAGTTCCTGGGCTTATTTTATGTGCCCCATATGCATTCTCTGCTTAGATTCCCATGAAGGAGGCAACATTAAAATTCCCATTTATAAAAACTTGCAAAGAAAAAAAAAAACCTGTCCTGGAACTTGTCCTCAGGTGCTATTTGAGGAGACAGAATCCCAAGGTAGAGCCACCTTATATACAACAGTCTTATTCTAAAAATAGCTCACAGTTTGGAAATTTCCCATTGTGGTAGAATTTTCCTCCTTTCCGCTACATGAATTTTGTAAGATATCAGACTTCTTAACAATTTTATTAAGAAATCAAGGTGTAGTGATATTTGAGAAAAAAGTCACCACATACGCAATCTGATATTTGGTTAATTATAAAATATGCTTTCAGGGGCTAGAGAGACGGCTCGGTGGTTAAGGTACCATTAACCTTACAGTTTTACATAAGGCCTGGTTCAGTTCCTAAAATCCACACTGACTAGCCCACAATCACTGGTAACTCAAGCTCCAGGGGATCTGACAACCTGTCTGCCCTCTGCAGGCACATGCATGCGTGTGCGCACACACACACATGCACACACCCACACCCCTACACACAGACAGAGAGAGAGAAAGAAAGAGAGAGAGAGAAGTACATAGGTACATGCATACACACATATACTCTTTTTTAATTTTTTATCTGTTTTTATTTTATTTTATTTTTTTATTAAAAATGTCAGCCTCCTCCCCGCCTCCCTCTTCCCTCCCCCTCCCCCCACTCCCCACGCCTTACTCCCCTCCCCCTCCCTCTCCAGTCCAAAGAGCAGTCAGGGTTCCCTGCCCTATGGGCAGTCCAAGTTCCTCCCCTCTCCATCCAGGTCTAGGAAGGTGAGCATCCAAACAGGCTAGGCTCCCACAAAGATAGTACATGCAGTAGGATCAAAACCCCGTGCCATTGTCCTTGGCTTCTCGTCTGCCCTCATTGTTCACCATATTCAGAGAGTCCAGTTTTATCCCATGCATATACTTTTAAAACACAAATCTTTAAAGTACATTTTATTTTATTAAAGTAGGAAAAACTACATGACATAATATCTCCTATTAATCTCGTGATATTTAAAAAAAAGCCATTGAAGGAGATTAAGGTGAAATTAAATCATCTAGAAATGTAGAGACCCACTCACACCATTTTAGCTGTGAATATACCAAGAATCGTAAATACAAATTATAAGTAAACACATGGGAATTGCATAGAGTAGCTTTGTTTGAGATGTGTCTGGTTTTACTCAAGTGGAAATGATGCAAAACCATGTAACATCCTTGAGTCTGCTCTTTTATGAATTTAGAGACACTATTCTATTTCTCTTCAATTTTAATTTAAATTTATAAATTTAGTTTCACATTGGAAGTCATCTTCTCCTAATTGCTCAATTTTACTTTATCAGCATAATCATGACCTACCCTATTTGCTTCTCGAATATTCATGTACTGATGGGTCAGAGAAGCATAGGAAACCCATGATATCATGCATAGGCTGAAGGAAAAAAAATGTTTTCTGAGAAACATATGGGTCTTTTCTTTGTCCGTTAAAAGCAATGTGTGTGGTTCAGAGACTGTAACTTGAGTATCTTGGTCTACCATCAAAAATTAAGTCCTAAAAGTTCACCAGCAAACCGCACAAGAAGGTTATTTCACAAGTGTTCCATAGCCTATAAAATTTAAGAATATACACGTGTGATATTCCTTTTATTTATTTGTTGATCTTGGATCAATGCCCCGCCTCCTTACTCTATCAACAATATCTTCTCCCTTCCAAGACCATTACTAATTAGGTTCCAAACTATTTCCTCTGGGTCTTTTAGGATCTAATCACTTTAATTAATTTTCCTTTTCTTCCTGGAAATGATCATTATCATTTGTGTAGCATATGTGCAAAACAAAACAAACAAACATAACAACAAAAGTTTCCTTTGCTTCTTCTAATTTCTGAACTAAGTGGAAATTAGGTGGGTTCTTTTCATCCCCTGTAGTTTCGGTGTCTTTCTGGGGACCCACATCCCTTTACCCTTTCCTCTATGTACCCCCAATTCCCTAAACTAATCCGTCAAAGTGGAAGTCTAAAGTAAATATTTAATGTGCAGCCATGATCCTTTCTTGAGACTCATATTTTTTAAGATTTATTTATTATGTATACATGTGCAGCCATGATCCTTTCTTGAGACTCATATTTTTTTAAGATTTATTTATTATGTATACAGTGTTCTGCCTCCGTGCCAAAAGAGGGCACCAGATCTCATTAGAGATGGTTGTGAGTCACCGTGTGGTTGCTGAGGACCTCTGGAAGAGCAGCCAGTGCTGTTAACCTCTGAGCTATCTCTCAGCCCCTGGGACTCGTACATTTTTTTAACCTGGCACTGCCTGATAAAACACAGCAGTGTTGTCACTTGTTATTTGGAGTGATTTCCTATAATTGCAGAAGCCAAATTCCAATGCTTTGGTATTAAAGGGAGATTATTGCCTCAAATGATGGACAGAGATAAGAATGTACTTTGCTTTTGAGATGATTGAGTAGAGAAGCAGCCCTCATTCTGCTCATTCTCCTTCTTTCTATATGTCATCAGCAGACCCCTCAAGTGAGGCTGGGCAAGCCACTAACAGCTTGTGCATCTTTCTTTTCACTCAAAGGAAAAGATAGCTTTCTATTCTTGATAATAAATATTAACTTTAAAATGCCATCAAATATGCCCATTCTTGGGCCATTCTCTTGGACCCTATTGCCAGGGCAGTGGGAGGCATTGGGTTGCTTGGTCCAGCATTGGTCGGTTACTTGGTCTTGCTGGCCTTGTGTACAGCACTCCAAGTCTGTCAAACAGGATAGGGCAAAATTTACCGAAGAAAATAAGAGAGTTCAGCCAAGTCCCAAAAGACCAACAAATAGCCACTCCTCTGTGGCTCTCAGTGAACATCGATAGCTCTTCACCAGTCTGTCTGTTGACGCAGATGAAAGTCCTAAATGTGTGCAATCATGAATTGTCAAATTTGCTGGGACACAGAGCAGAGTCAGGGAGTACTGAGCATCAAAACAGAAAAACCTTAAAAGGCAGGACATGGAATCCAGACTTTAGTCCAGAAGAGGCTGTCCTCCCGGCATTGACCCACCTCTAGGACAGAAGGGAAGGGTAACAAATTCCATTCTGTCTTAGGTGTCAGTTGTACAAGAAGATGTGTTTTGCTTTTTTGTTACAAACCTTTAAAAATGTGAAGTAAGAGGCAGAGGAAGTATTTGTGAGTCTGTTTAAATTACTAAGTCGCCATTTATTAAGCTTATGGAAAGCACACCCTTTATTCCTCCCTACAATGTACTTTCCCTCCTAAACAAATGAAGGTACAGTTGCTCAGGAGAGTGATGGAAGGCAGTAACTGCTTGGGGTGAAAGTGAAAACAGAAGCAGGTGACAAATGGTCTGATGTGCTCGTGTAAATTTTGAATATGGGAAAGTCCAGGAAATTCATCTAAATATATTTTCCAACTCAAAAGTCATGAATTACCTGTTGGTTTGTTGCTGTTGTCTTCAACTGTCAACTTTGCAAAATCAGGTAACTGAAGACAGAAAAAAATTTCATTAGCCATGAAAACTTACAGAAATATTGAAAATTAAAGAATAGACCAACAGTGAAAAACTCACATATGTTTCTTTTCAGGTACCTGTTGAAAGTCAGATGTGCTATGCCACACTGGATCATAGCATCAAGGGGAAACGCAGAAGGCCCCGGAAGCAGAATGCTAATTTCTCAGACAGGGAGAAAGATGCACAAGTTTGTGCAATGGATACCAGCATTTCTCAGAACAATTTGGTACCAGATTTCTCATCTGATAACCAGGCAGTAGAAGAAAGTGTTCATGATGATCCTGCAAGACTGTTTGGATTGATCCGTGCCAAGAGAGAGCCTGTAGTCTAGCCGGACAATGATCTGGCTCACTGATAATGACCTTATCAGAAATGGCTAAGCGAACAAGACCCTAGTGTGACACACAAGGACCGGCAGGATGATAGTCTGCTCTTTTGTTGATGGGATGGTAGCTTCCTTTTCTCAGAGATTGTGTCTCCACACACCCAATCCAATGTATTAAAATTAGCTATATGAATTCATTAAAAAAATATCCAAGTAAGAAAAGTAAAACAATAAAATCAAGTTTGTAAGTAAAATTACTTGTTAAAAAAGTCAAAATGTATAGTAATACCTAGGAAAATTTTAAAAATCTAAAGTACATATGTGCCCTAGGACATACTGAAGGAAAGATAAGACAATATCTCAAAATATTAATCAAACATTTCCTCTTTCCTCAATATGAAATAATTAAAAATTTCAATAATTTCTAATAACTGAAAGTACATTGCTAAGAAAAGTAGAATAAATTGAGGAGTATTTTTCAAATATGTAAATAGCATAATTATTCTAAAATTGTGATAAAATAGATCCATGTTCCTTATAACAATTTCTTAAGAAGAACTTAGAAATTCTACTGCCAGGGATAATCAGTATGAATAACTTGGTGTCTGGTTTGTGGATATTTTATTCAACTACGACCATGTAAAAGTATTGGTTGTTACTTTTTTTTATTATTTTAACTTAAAAGTAGAGTGTCATGCATGTTATTTAAATTTTCTTCATGTATCAAGATGTTCTGGCTTTATTTCTACTGTATCTACCTATATCAAATGTTTTAGACTGTGTCTCTGGTAATGCTGGGGAGCAAACCCAGGGTCTTTACCATGAAAGGCAAGTGCTCTATCATTGAGCTTCATCCGAAGTTTTGTCCCATAATTTTAATGTTTGGATTGTAGCTCACTTATGATTAAATCAGAATTCATTTAAGTAATTTTTAAGGCTACTTAAATTAATTCAAGTTTCTATTTTATGTGCTCACAAGTGATATTTTAATGAGAACGCTCCAAGACATGTCTGGACACTTATCTAGTCTCTTCTTTGTGTTGAGTCCCTTAAAGAGAATTAAATATACTTAAAAATGCATGTTCATAGTATGAATCTCCAAAAACCAGATCTCTAGAAGATCAGAAGTTGGATCAAATATATACATACATACAGTTTAAATTCTAAAGGAATATCCCACATTGTCTCCCAAACAGTTAACTCAAAGCCTCAGCATGGGTGAAGGTGCTTAGCTGTGATCCCAGCATGCGGGAGTCTGAGGCAGGAAGAGCCCCATTAGTTCCAGGTTTTTTGGTCCTGAAAGTGAATTTCTGGTCAGCTTGGGCTAAGAGTGAAACCATGTTTCAAAACAAACAAACAAAACAAAACAAAACAACAACAACAAAAAACCCTATTATCAGGAACAAAACAATGACTATTGTCCTTCATTGAGAAAGGAGGCTTGCTGGTAGTTTATAATAAACATATTTAACTTGTTATAATATGTATTTTTAAGGGTTACTTTGACAGAAAAACTTGGAAACAACATACATTTTTTTTTCCTTTATGGTGGCGTACTGTGAATTTTCCATACATTGCATTTTTTTATAGTACTTTAAAATTTTTTAAAAGTTTTGATGAAGTTATATAGTTTTCCCTTTCCCCTTCCTTCTTCTAGAACCTTCCCATGCACCCCTTCTTGTTTTCTGCCAGGGATCTCTCTTTCTTTAATGTTGTTACATATATGTATGTGTATAATTGGAAAGCTCTACCTGTAGAAGACTGTTTCTCCTACTCTGAACAGTCCCCAGGTGCTCACAGTTCTTTGCCTAGAGTTGAGGCCCTGCAAGCTTTCGCTCCCTCCATACTGGCATGTCCATTGGCATCATCATTGTTCAGATCTTGTTTAATCAGTCATGTTGATGAGACCTCATGGGTGTTGCCTTTCTGATGTCACATGCTTTTATTTAAGATATCATTTTTTAAAATCTTTTTTTATTGAGAAAAGGAAAAAAAAAGTTTCCGCCTCCTCCCAGCCTCCCATTTCCCCTCCCCCTTCTCCCACCCTTTTCCCTCTCCCCCCCACTCCTCTCCCCCTCCCTCTCCAGTCCAAAGAGAAGTCAGGGTTCCCTGCCCTGTGGAAAGTCCAAGGTCTTCCCCTCTCCGTCCATGTCTAGGAAGGTGAACATCCAAACTGGCTAGGCTCCCACAAAGCCAGAACATGAAGTAGGATCAAAACCCCATGCCATTGTCCTTGCCTTCTTATCAGCCCTCATTGTTCGCCATGTTCAGAGAGTCCGGTTTTCTATCATATGACAAAAGCATTTGTTCAACTATGTTCATAGCAGTATTATTTGTAATAACCAGAACCTGGAAACAACCTAGATGCCAGTGTGGAATATATACACATTAGAGTAATACGCTACGGTAAAAAATAATGACTTCTCGAATTTTGCATGCAAATGGATGGAAATAGAAATCACTATCCTGAGTGAGGTAACCCAGACCCAAAAAGATGAACATGAGATGTACTCACTCATAATTGGTTTCTAGCCATAAATAAAGATCACAGAGTCTGTAATTGGTGAACCTAAAGAAGCTAAATTAGAAGGTGAACCCAAAGAATAACATATAGTTGTCCTCTTGGCTATGGGAAGTAGACAAAATTACCGGGGAGAAAATTGGGATCTTGGGGGTGGGGTGGGATGGGGGTAAGGAGAGATGGGGAGAGAAAAGTGAGAAGGGGAAGATGGGGGAGACTTGAGGAAACAGGATGATTGGGATAAAGGAAGGTTGGATTGGGGAGCACGGAAGCACAATTCTTAGTTAAGGGAGCCAGCTTAGGGCTGGCAAAAGACTTGAACCTAGAGTGGCTCCCAGGAGCCCAAGGCAATGTCCCCAGTTAGTTCCTTGGGCAGCTGAGGATAGGGAACCTGAAATAACCCTATCCTATATCAATACTGACGAATATCTTGTATATCACCATAGAACCTTCATCTGGTGATGGATGGAGATAGAGACAGAGACCCACACTGGAGCACTGGACTGAGCTTCCAAGGTCCCAATGAGGAGCAGAAGGAGGGAGAACATGAGCAAGGAAGTCAGGACCAAGAGGGGTGCACCCACTCACTGTGACAGTGGAACTAATCTATTGGGAGCTCACCAAGGCCAGCGGGACTGGGACTGAAAAAGCATGGGTTAAGATACCATTTAAAATAATAATAAGTACCTTCATAATTTTCCAAGTAGTTAGAATGTCTAGACATCTCCAGTTGCTAAGATCCATGCAGGATTCTGTCTGGCACCCCACATTTCCACTTAGAGGACTTCTTTAACTATTTTTGCTGTCCAGGCCAATGAGTGATAAAACTCCCTCGGCATACTGAGCATCTGAAAAAGCCATTGTTTAAATCTTGAGAGATATTGTCACTGGATAAAAAATTCCCAAGGTTGAGCAGACTATGCTTCTTTGAACAATCAGTACTGTTCCTTTTTTGAACACATGGATGCTATCCAAAACCTTCCTGGTATCCTTGGTTTTAACTATGTGGTTTCCTGAATCAGAGCAGCTGGATTAAAGTATAATTTTCTTCAAAGATTAAGCCATCCTTCTAGATTTGAGATGCAGAACAAGCAGCGCCTGTCTCCACCTGAACACTGTGGATGTATTCTTCAACCAATAAATATTGAATCTCGACCAGAGACTCGTTCTCCTGAATAACAACGTTGATGGGGAAATGCGCACTGGCAGACTTAATCCTGTAAAGCAAGCCCACTGTAACAATCTTGATTGTGATGTGGACATGGCTACCGATAGTCTAGGCAGCACCCAGTTCCTTTCTGCTTCCCTATCATTTGTCAACTGAGAGACTCTTGGTTTTCTTTTCAAGGGGACTCAGCTCTGCACTGATGTGATTAGAGTCTTTCTGGAGGGTTCCTCTGGGACCCTTCATGATCCCTGTGTGCCCCCTCAGAGTAATGTCAGTATTTTCTGGGACCCCGGAAGTCTAATTGTTGAGTATGTTCTCACAATAAGTATGGCCTGCTTTACAAGATAGTATTTTTATTGTGTAAAAGATACTTTGAATTTTACCTTATTTAATTATTTTAAAACTATTTTGAACACACATACAACACACACACAGATGCATATGTAATTATAAATCTAGATTCTGCACAATAAAGTATGCAGCATTTTTCTGAATCTGGTTTATCTTGTCCAATACAATTATTCTTGCAAATATCATGATTTCATTTTCCTTTGTGACAGAGAACTCCATCTGTATATGTGCCACATTTTCACTGTCCATTTTTCTGTTGATGGACAAGTAGGCTGGTTCCATTTCCTGTATACTGTGAAGAATCCAGCATCAAATATGGAGGCACAAGTATCTCTATAGCATGATGATATAGCATTATTTGAATATATTCTCCAGAGAGAAATAGTTATCTCATATGTTAGTTCCAATTTTAATCTTCTTATAACATCTATCCTGATTTCCATAATGGGTGCACAAGCTTACAGGCCTACCAGAGTAAATCTCATCTCTAGTACTTGATGTCATTTGTTTCTTTGGTGATAACCATTCCAACTGGAGTGAAATGTGTTCTCAATGCGCTTTTCATTTGCATTTTCCTCACAGGAAAGCGAGTGTTTATTGGCCATTTGTATTTCTCCTTCTGAGGACTGTCTACTCAGTTAACTGCTGCATTGTTAGCTAGATGACTTCAGTTATTTTACTTAACCTATTTGCAGTTCTTCGTGCATCCTGGATATTAATCGCTTCTCCGATATGTAGTTGGCAAAGACCATTCCGTACCCTCTTCACATACATTATTTCCTTTACCATGCAGAAACTTTTAACATCATCTACTCCCATCACTTAGTTCTTATTCCCTGTGCTAAGGAATGATGTGGGAGTGTCATATATCAATCTGTTGATTTCATTGGTTAAGTAATAAACAAACTGCTTGGGCTCATAGCTTAGAACATGGGTGGGAGGAGTGAACAGAACAGAATGCTGGGAGGAAGAGGAAGTGAGCTCAGACTTGACGGCTCTCCTCTCGGGAGCAGACGCCTCAGAGAGACGCCATGCCCCGCTCCCGGGCAGACACACGCCATGAAGCTCCGACCC